TTAAAAATTTAAGTATTATATAAATGTAGTTAAAATTTTTTTATTAAATAAAAATACTCAATAAAAATTTTAAATGAAAAAATAATTATTATTTATTAAAGTTATTAGATTTTTAGCTAAATTTTATATTTAAAAATTTTTAAAATTAAAGTAATACTATTAAAAATAAATTGAAAGAATAACATTTTGTTGACACTATTTAAAAAAATTAGTAAAATTTTAGTTATCTTAATATTTTTTTTTAGAGTAACAATAACTACAGCAGGCAAAGGATAGAAATTTTTTTTTGTTTTTTTTGTTTTTTTTTTTTCTGTGCGGCACAAGGTATTCCCCCTCCTTAACCATTCTAACTGTTGACATTCACCAGCAAGAAACGACACGTTCACAATTGTCGACTGAGATTTCTGTCATTGGAACCGGGAAAACGGGCAAAAACCGAAAAGCACAGTAAGAAATCTAGAGCCTAGCTCAAGCTACCAAATCAAAGAGAATCTGTTACTGTGTTTCTTGCGGAGAATCCAGATTGGGGTTTAGGGTTTCGGCTGAACAACGATGGCCGTCTTGTCCATGGATTCGCTGCCGTTAGGCTTCAGATTCAGGCCGACGGATGAGGAGCTCATAAACCATTACCTCCGGTTGAAGATCAACGGGCGTGGCTCCGAGGTTCAGGTGATTCGGGAAGTTGATGTTTGCAGATGTGAGCCCTGGGATTTGCCTGGTATTTATTTTCCATCTCTCCTGCCGTAAATTTCTTTCTTCTTTTGAAAAGAAAAAGAGGATTTTATTGGTTGAAGACTAATTGTGAATCTTCGATTCCTAGTCTAGGATGTCTGTTTCATTTCCTTTATTCCGTAAATAATGAATAATTATATCAAATAAATTTATTCCTCTCTTTTTTTTTTTTTAGAACTAGCAATTTTCGTAAGCAGAAGATTCCTTCTTAAATTTCCTGAATTTTGATTCCGGAATTTCTAATTGTTTGCTTTTACGTTGATGGCATTTTAATGGGGGGGTTTATATTGAGTTAGCTCGGTCAGTGATAAAAACGGACGATTCAGAGTGGTTCTTCTTCTGTCCACGTGACCGGAAGTACCCCAACGGCCAGCGGTCCAATAGGGCTACTCATGCGGGCTACTGGAAAGCTACTGGTAAGGATCGCACCATCAATTCTAAGAAGTCTCTCATTGGAATGAAGAAGACCTTGGTGTTCCACAGGGGCCGAGCCCCCAATGGTCAACGCACTAACTGGATCATGCATGAATATCGAGCAACTTCCAAGGATCTTGATGGTACTGCCCCTGGCCAGGTATCATTTTGATGTTAATTATTATTTGTACAGCGAGTAAAGCTTTTGTAATATATGTTTTGTCAATTTATTGAAATTTCAATTCAAATCTTACAGTGGTTGTTATTTTCATGAACTAACTCAAATCTTAAACTTGGGGTTTGCTGGAATAGTTTTGTAGTGCGTAAATGGCTCTTTTTGTTGGCTATTAAATGGTTTTGGGTTTGAGTAACTACAATCACGGGCCAGAGTTGGGTTACATGGTCCTGTGGTTGTTTGTCTTTATCCAAAGCTAGAACAATTACATAACATTGGATCTATGTGGTGTATGCAGGGTGCATTTGTTCTGTGTCGATTATTCCACAAAGTGGATCAGAAGATTGATAGTGTAAGGTATGATGAAGTGGACCAGACGGGAGATTCTCCTACCACAAACAAATCTTCTCCTGATGACACATCATCAGATCTTGTCCAAGAGACAGCAACTCCTGAGTTGCAACCTCAAAAGCAGTCAGAAGGTATAAAAAGATGGTTGACGGATAAATGTGATGATGTATCACATAATGGTCATGTTATAGGTGGCAGCTGCTGCAATAGTCATATGACTTCTGATGTAGAAGATCATGCTGAAGACAATGCAATTGAGGTTAGAATTGGACTTTACTTCGATATATTAGTTTTATTTCTCAATGATCTTTTTAACCTTACCATATCATGACCAGAGACAGGATGAGAACATCTCTACTGACTCCCCTTCTCTTTTTTCTTTAGGGATTTCCACACTTGGAAGAAAATTCAAACTTTTATGACCTCATGTATAATCAGATTGATTACGAAGTTTCCTTGCCAGTGCACTCTCATGTTCATGAAGATCTAGCGCCCGACATGGATTCTCTTTATGCTAGTGATTTTGGCAATGAACATAATGGAATATGTTTTCAAGATGGAACTGCTGAACAGGATGTCCCACTCTCTGACTTGTTGTATGAGGTTTTCAATAACCATGAGGAATCCTGTGAAGAGTCTACCAGTCAGAAAAACTCTGTTGCTGGAAGTGAAGTGTACAATTCTGGTAATGCAAGTATTCCACAGACCTTACTGCCAGAAAGCTCCTATGTCAAAGACAATGTTACATGCAGTGACACTGATACTGAAATGGCCCAAGTACCGGTAAGAGAGTAACTTTTTCCTACTGATATGTATGTAACTATTAGTTGGTTTCCATGCAGATTGCAGAGCCTTATTATTTGTGTTGTTATGGTTTTTGTTCTTGTCTTCTCAGGCATATCCTTATAGCTATTTGATTTAATATTCATTGATTGATTCTAACTTATCTTTTCTATTTTCAACCTGTGCATCAGTATGATACAGAAATTGGATCTTCTAGGTGGTTTAACGAGCAAGTGGATAAGACTGAATATTTGCAGATGCCAGATTCATTTGGATCTGGTCATCCTCAAGCAGCTCTTTGTGACCGAGAATTTAAAAGTGGATATGTTGGTGATTTTGGGAATTATTCTTTTGGGCAAAACATCTCACCTGATTCTGCCATGGCTTCATTTTCTGGTAGTGTCCATGGTTTGGAAGAGCCAAGCAGTCTGAATAATCCTGTGAACAGTAGTGGTGTTCTTGGTGGTGCTGGAATCAGAATTAGAAGCCGCCAGCCCCCACGTCAACCAAATTCTGTCAACTTTGTCACTCAGGGCACTGCTCAAAGGAGAATCCGTTTGCAGATGAGACTTTCACCAGGCTCCTTTGACAATGACAAAGAGACAAATGCTGGCCTTTACGAAGAAGAAGAAGTACAGTCAGCTTTATCAAAGGTTAAGATTGTTTGATAAATCTATTTAAGGCTTTTGGTCTTTTGATGTGCCTTTATCACATTCTTAGACCTTGTATCTCTTATTGCAGGCCACAGAAGTAGAAGATACTGGTGAGCCAGAGAAAGAAAACCAGCTGCTCAATCTTGATGAGAACAAGGGAACTGGTGAAGGATCGTCTATAAAACTGAGGAAAAGGGTGAAAAGTGACTCTGAGCCAAAGAGCACCAAAGTGAACCAAGCTGCAGTGCTTTCAGAAACAGCACCAATGCGTCATGGCTCAAGTTCCTCATTCTCTCTTATGCTCGGTATTTTCAGTATTTTGGTTTTGCTTGTTTTCTTATTGGGAATATGGAGATGCCTAAGTTCTTGATATTTGGTTGAATCAACCGGTAGGTTCTCTCTAGTCTGTTTTTCCTCTGTCTGCTTACTTTGTAGGAAATATTGTTAGGTAATGTAATGTAAATTGTGTTCCATGTGTATCTGTATAGATTACGTAGAATAGGGAATGGCTCTGTACTACGTTGTATGTGACAACCTTCCTGTTATGTGTCGTTGGTCTAACGTTGTGCAATGTATTCTACTATAGAGGCTTTTATTTGTATCGTTATCTTCTTAATTTTTTTTAATATTTATTTCGCCTAATTATTTATTTCCACTTGCATGGAAGATTGGTTTAACTTTTTACAAGGTGAGGGAGGATCTAGTGTGCGTAAGAAAAATCAAAATGTTTTGGTATTTTACATTTAATAATAATTATATAATAAATTTAATGAAGTTAAAATTTACATTATGTTACATAGTTATAATTAGGCATCTTGATATTTTATGTTTTGATTTATTATTTTTCTTATTCTTCTTATCAAATATATTTGTGGAACCAATAGCTATATAATTATAGATCATACATGTAAAATTTTAAATTAATTTGATATTCATAAACGTAAAATTTTAGATTAATTTGGTTTTTTTAATCAACGATTGAGATTAATTTGGTATTTGTAACATTATATTTATTTGCCGCCAAAAGAGTGTTATATTATACTAAAAACACAAGGTTTGATTACAAGACCAACCAGAATAATCAAAACGAAATCAGGAAAAAAGCAAGCATAAACTAGAAGTCTGACAGAAGCAATAAGATACTGAAACTGTTGTACGAAGATAACCAATTAACCACAGCCTATAAGATACTGAAAGGTTTTTGGTATCGAAGAATTTTTAGCAATTGGTTATCGATGTTGATCCCGTTGACTCTAATTCTCGGCAATTGACACGGTGCCGACATGGATTTTGTTTCTAGTGCCCTATTTTTCTACATCAAAATCTTAAATTCAAAACAAAATTTTCATGAAACAAAAAATTTGAAACAAATTTTCATAGAAAAAATGGTAAACAGAGGCACTCCTTTGTACAACTACAATTTCACCTCTGTAATTAGCATGCGAGAGACCGTCACCTTAAAAACTTGTAATGTTGCATTGTAAACATATTTTTTATATTATATAATCAAGTTAATTCAGAAAGTCTAGCTTAGTAATATTCAATTCAAAGAAGGCTTATGTTAATTTTGAATAAACATATATCATTAGATACTGTGCATAATTGATTGTTAATATTTTCATAGTTGATAGAATCCGACCTTCGAAATCTAGTGGTTTGCCTAGAGGCTCTAAGCGCTTAAGTTTGTTGGTCGGGATTTCAAACTCTACCTATACCTTGAAAATCCCATTCCCCTTTCTCTAAAAATTGTACGCTGTTCAAAAAAAAAAAAAAATCATTGTTGATTATCTATCTAAACAAATCATATTTCTAGCATCAGGAGAGGATTAGAAAATTAGGAAATAACTTGTAATATATCATCCACGATCCTTGAAAATGTTGCTATGAATTAGAAGTTCAAATTTTGTATAATCAATTGTTGGATGCATCCATTTATGCATTTATGTAATGCAAGTAAGTATATCACATATCTAAGTTTTAAAAACTCCTGCTCATATAATATATATATATATATTATGCACATGCTAGAAGTGAATTAAAACAATTAGTTCTAAAAATAAAATTTCTAAACTAAAGAGAAAGCATATAAATAGAATGTTAGTAATACTGAAATCATAAATACTCTTAAAAAGTAAAAAATGAGGGTCCTCAAATATGCATATATAATAGCAAAGGACATGGTCTATAAAAGGAAGTATTTTGGACTAAAATTAGTTGAAAATTATTGACAAAGACATTATTATTCAATATGAAAAGAGATGATCCAAATATAATTAAAAGGAAAATGATCTGTGCACCTACCGGTTCGATATTCGCGTGTGCACACCCCATAAAATAACAATTAACTCCGTGAAATTACATTTTTTGTGGATGGCTGCAGGCTGCAGCCATCCTTTGGCTTTGGCCTATTTATACATCTAAACAGATACCATCCCTAAACCTTAACCATTGTAATTCGCCATCATCCTTTCTGATGTGATACTTTGATTGCTAAAGATAAAGGATCGGGTGGAAGAAAGGCCACAGTAGATCCATGGAGATTCATCATACGTTTGCGAATTCCAACAGATAAGAGATGATTGATTGTTGGGCTTCTCAGGTGAGGAGTGTCTCCATACTGTCTGTTGATACCCATAGCGTAGACACAAATTTGAAGTGATTGATGTGAAATTCTCTACTAATTTCGACATGGAAAAGTTATCATTGATTATGAATTAGACGATAATTTGTTGTTGATGTTTATTGAATGTTAAATAATGTTTAGGGTTTTGGCAAGCGTTATGAGGCCATTGCTGAATTGCTGATGCCTGACAACTGGTGTGTAGCAACAGGCTGCGGTGGTGGAGGACAGGTGCGTAATTTAATTGTAATTTCCATTGCACTGTATATATTATCTAGAGGAAATTTTCATATTTAGGTAGTTTGTTGTTATTGAAGTCAAATAAGTGAGGGAAGAATAGAGTACTAACAACAATCATAAAACTATGGGGCAATCAGTCATTGATGGTTAGGATAGCAAAGATTTTGATGCGGTTATGTTGTAAGAGTAAAAAAGGGGGAAAAAAAAGTGAGGATTGTGAATTGTGTGGTAGATGATTGAAAGGATTTATGTGATGTTGTTGTTATGACAGTAAAGAAAGTCCTATGTATTGAAGAACTGTGTTTTATTAAAGTGATTATGATTTCATGAGCTTATTGAACATATATTCTGCTTTGTTGTAGAATGGAGATAAAGTGATGATGCAGTTAGCAAGAACTTGTGTTGTTAGTTAAAGAGGTAGGAGAAATTTATATTATCTTGATTATGGTTTGTTGATGAATTTGCATGTGTTACTAATAGGAAAAAGGTGCAAAAAATGAGTTTAAGTTTTTTGTTATGGCTTTTAAGTTATAACCCATGGTTACTTTAGATGTAGAATTTATGTTTTTTTGTTCACACTGTTTTGAGGATTGGCTAAGAACACTATATGCGTACAATGTCCGACAGTTGCAGGAAGCTATGGAGTTGAGGAAGCAACCTTGTAATTGAGAAACAAGGTTTAAATGACTATCTCTGCCGGGAACAATAAGTTGGGTAGAAATTTTTGTTAAACTTTAGTGCTGTGAATTTTCCTTTATTCTTGGACACTGCATATTGTTACCATAGAACACATTTGTCAGACTATATAACTTGGTGTCTGATTTTGCCTAAATGTTTCCTTCAAAATGCATTGTCCAATAAGAATGTAAAGGATAATGTTTGTACTTATTTTTTCCTGATATAAAGTATATTCTATGTGGGACATAGAATAAGAACTGACTTATTAAAGAGTGATAAGTTTTATGAGTATAAGAAGTTTAGAGGTTTATTATGAATAAGTAAATTTAATATGGGATGTTATTTCACTTGGATTGTTTGGCCAAAGCTATTCCCAAAGGCTTGTGTGATATTCTGTTGGGGTACAAGGGGGAACTAGTTTAGTGCAATTGAGTTTTGGGACAATTAGTTGTGGTGTCTTGGGTTTGGGATGTAAGATTCAGGGGTTACTGGTTACATTATGGTGAAATGTTGGACAAGTAGGGTACAATCAACTTGGTTAAAATGTGTCAATGCTGGCCCTTTAAATTGAAAATGCAATTGGGTGTAAAAAGTTTTCTTTTTGTTGTGTTAAGAAGGGATGAATCCCCTTTTGCTTCTACTTGTAATATAATTTGATATAACTTCATTGTTGTTCAAAGTTGCACGTTGTCCATTTATATTTCTCAGAGGATCACGTGTGTAAGTCATCCAACTAAATGGAGATATCGTTTCTGTAGAAATGTAGTTTGGAAAATTTGTTGTCCCAATGTCATTATTTATATGTAGTAGCTGTAAATATATTTAGTGATTGTGTTTAGGGTTATAGTCTATGCATTTACCCCCTTATAAATTATGCACGAGGCTTTTACTCCATAATGTTATTCTTTGAAGATTTGTTCTGGTAAAGTTTGAATATTTTCCTGCATGCTACAGCTAGTGGGTTATTTGTCATAATTGAAGGGCTACTGGGTTACGGGATTTTGTCAAGTTGGCATTAGTAATAGTTTACCTGCTCAACTTTGGGCCCACAGATCATTACATACTTAACTAATTAGTGAATAACTCATTCTTTTGTGAGAGTAGCACCTTATCAAACACTATAAACACTAACCTGGTGAGAGTAATTTATCTCAACCAACACAATAAGCATAACACATTTGATAGCATGATAGAAGAATTGATACATAACAGCAGACAATTGAAAAATTATATATATATCCAAAATATTTCCAAGATTAAAGTCATATGAGGAAAAAAAGACTGAAGATCAAAATGAAAAATAGAATATAAGCAAATATAAAGGGAATTCATCCAGAAAACTCAGCACAATCTAAATGATTTGCTTTTAGAAACTAAAATAAATGATAAAAAAAAGAGAGGTAGTTTATCACCAATGAATGAGCTGGGAATTTTGAGACCACAAACGCATCTACCAAATCCTAGAAGAAAATTGTGCCATCCTCAGATCCACCAATCAAAAAATTTCCATTGCATCAATGGAAATTACAGAGTCCATATAAGGCATCTGCATTCTAACCTTACAAGCATGTCCTTTGTATTCTTGCAACAGTTCACTTGTACACCTGGCATGCAAAAGACCCAAGATAAGGGTTCATAAAAGCCAGAAAAATAACCTACAGCAAGAATCCACACAAGTACATGACAATACCGATCCAAAAGGCACAGAGTAGAATCTAAGCAACTAACCAATATACAATTGCCATCATTTGACATTCACATACAATTGATAGGTTGCCCTAAGTCATCAGATGTTTCTCTATACATACAAAGAAGAAAACATCATTATCGAAAGTTTCCAAAATGATTACAGTCAGCATACAGATATTTATTTACATTATAGGGGAAAAGGTACCAATTATCTTTTGGCTACATACCTACCCATACGAATGTCAAAGGTTCAAACAGTTCCATCAACACTCCCACCAATAATTTCAGTCTTTGTCAAACATACATACATCATAGTGTTAAAAAATGTATCGATTATCTGTATACCATCAAGAACTTTAGAAATAGTACATTGATAGTTCAGACTAAAATGAATCCATTTAACATGATAAAATTTTTGAAATGATAAAGGGTTAAAGATGGACAGGCTCAATGCTATGAGACCTACACTCCCAAGCACGTAATGAATGATCATATCCAGCAAATACAACAACAGAAGCATACTCATTAAACTTAACAACATTAACCTAAAAGGGGTAACCGTATCAAGCAAAAGAACAACTACAAAATTTAAATCTCACCAAATTAACACATCAATTCACAACTCCAAAACCTAAATTCAAGTTACTAAGAAACAAACCTCGCCATCTTGGCCAAGGAAATTGCAAATAACATGACCAGTTGCTACGTCCAATATCATTTGTGGAACCAGGATCCTAAATATTTTTTTCCATCTTAACTGTCTAACCATTCCTACATGTTCGTCTCTGCTGTCATAACCATTTATGCCTAATTCAGCCTTGCTTTTAGGACTCTGTTATCCCCACTAGGATACCAAGAGATGCAAATGACATTTACTTGATTTCAGTAAGAATATACTACATAAATCTTTCGGGCCTAAATTAATGTACAATAACTCTTAATTATGGCCATCCTAACCTCAAACACTTAATGATCATAAAAACTACCGTAATTAACATGAATTAACCTCTTGCTAGATAATAGCTCACTTTTTCTCCATTCGACCTACTGCTGCCTTCCTTCTCTATCCAATGAACTCACCACATTGCACCCGCCTTCTTCCCTCTTTCTTCTTCCTAGCTCCCTTTGCCCAAAATTTATTATAATCATAGTAGAATATTTTTCAATTTCCATCTGACTCTGCTTTAACTATATGATGATGGACCAAAATAAAAAAAGAAAAAAAGTACCATCATTTGAACACAACCACCCTTCTGCGTCTCAATCGAGGGTCCTCCTGACCATGGCCGCGGCGATTGGATTCCATCCACATAGATTCCAAACCTGATTTTACAGGTCTCCTTCATAGGTGCATCCTCTTGCTCTCTGCTCTAAGTTTCGAAACAACATGAATTTTCTCCCTCGATTTCCTTCGCGAACCAACCTGAATCTTCTCCGTCGATTTCCTTCGTGATCACCATGACGACTACATCTCTACGGGAGTCATAGATGAGTAACCTTGGGTCAAGACTGGAGTGCTAGATCTCGAGGAGTATTTGTGTAGTTTCCAGTGGGTGATTTCGGATAAGTTGGGAATAAGCCTATATGAAGATTATCTCATCTTACTATTTGAATCGACCGTGTGTGTGAAGATGGGTGTTGAGTTGGAGTGTGTGCGTATCACAGTCCTAATTAAAATCATTAAAGTAATATGAAGTTTTTAAATCAATAGTCCAAGTGTAGAATAATATAAAATTAGTAGGCTACAAACAATATTTGTGAAAATATATAATACGAAGGAAAACTTGTCGCATAAAGATTTGTGCAAAACTTGATAGTGGTTATGTGCAGTGGCGGGGCCAAGAATTTTAGTCAAGGAGGTCAGCTTTTCAAGTCTTAAAATAATGCATTATAATTTTGAAAACTTACTTTTATATCATAAATTAAAATGATATTTGACGAGTCTTCATATCACGAAATTTATTTATAATAGGGTCTATACTAAATAACTGAACTATTTCCTTTTTAATATAAACAATTAAAGAGTTTGAAAGAAATTCATCATCCATTTTGTTGCAAAGTCTCATTTTCACAATTTTCATGACAAAAAATGCTCTTTCTATTGTTGCTAGTAGGGTGAAGAGATCCTCCACCTCCTTAGGTGAGGTTGGTAAATATAAAATACGACAATATTTTATCTCTTTATCCTACCTCTTTCTACAATCAAACAATTTTTTTTCCCTTTTTACAAGCTAATTACACTTTACACTAGTTTGTCTTCCTTTTATACTAATTTATCTTCCTATTGCTTTTTTCTATATGACTATATTCAAGGTTTTTCCTTTTATTGATTTCATATATGCTCCCTTTATGGATCTACACTTTCTTCTTCCTTTTTTTTTTTTTTTTTTACTCTGATTCAATTATATTCCATATAACTTCAATATAACTTCAATATTATCATAATATTCAATTTTCTTTGTAATCTCAACAACTCTAAATCCTAAAAGGAAATT